AATGAAATACCTCCATTCTAAACCACTTGGTAACCTCTTGAACTCACTGCAATAACAGGTTCAATACAACAATAATTTGTGCACTTACAATAAACACAATGGTCACTTTTAAAACCGTCTTATTGCAGTATCTTAAATGGAGGAAATTAATCTGTGGCACTCAATGGTATTCAGTCCAGTTCAGTAAACAGTTCTATATGCCTGAAAAAGAGTACTCTTCTGAGAAAGAATTAAAATTGGAGCTTCACAGTGAACTCTGACATGGGAAACTCATCATTAATGGATAGACAAAGATTTGCTATTTCCATTGAGGATTTCAGTTTCCTTACTCCCATCAACCCACAGTGAATGTCCTTCACAGCTATGACCCCAGTGTTGCCAATGCAAGTTCAATTTCAAAACTAATCAAAGCAACAGGAGTTCAAGACAATTACGACTCCCATCATGAAAGGTACACTTTATACGGTTTGACTTCATAAAAAACAAAAATGTACCAGCACACAAAACAGAGCACCCAGTCTTCAAACTATGCTTTAATCAGCTCAGGTTCATTTATGTTTTGACCAAAGAAGTAATCCACTAAGGTTGATTGCACAAAACATAAAATCTTAATCGACTTGTGTCCCACTTAATAATAAGTTATTATTTATAAATTATTAAATGTGCTATAATAAATTGTGGTTTTAGCTAATAAAAATTAATAAATTAATTAATAATTTCAGACAATTATTTCAGACAACAATCGATGCAAGAATACTACTGAATTGAAACAGTTTAGAAATCGGAGCTCTGTGTGTTGGCTAAGTTACATTTCAATTATCATTGAATTATGAACCTCGACTTAACATTTTCTCCATTCACTCTACTACTTGAGGAAGTGGACAGAAAGTTTTGTTAAAATCATATGTGCATTTGTTGCAAACAATAACAACTTGCACTTATATAACACTTTTCACAAAGGACTAATGTCTCAAAGCATTTACAGAAACAATGTGGATCACTGAGCAAAGTGGGAAGAGGGGATCAGTTTCAGTATTTTGACTGACTGACTCCCAGTGCCTTGGAACGTCCTTGCGACGTGGAAGGTTCTATATAAATACAATTTGTTGTTGTTGACATGGTCAAAGAGATGCATTTTTAGGAAAGTTTTAAAGGTAGGGAGAGGAGCACAGCAAAATGATTTGGGAAGAGTTCTATGAGAGTAAGAGGGGTGGAGATTGCAGTGATAAAATAAAGCAACCTCATGAAGGTCATGCGAATAATAATAAATCCTTGCATTTGATATAGCGCCTTATCACGTCTTTGAGATGTTTCAAAGAGCTTCACCGAATATACTATAAATTGAATTGACTGAATATTTTGTGGGTAAAACACAGCAGCCATTCTTTTTGAAGGCATTATTAACCCCAGAAAAGCAATCTGCCATTTGACTAACAACTGGGTTCTTACTTCCTGCTAGGTAAACAGAGGCGTGTGGAGGAAGGGAACTTGCCCAACATTTTGCCCGAGAATCGAACCCAGGTCTCTCGCTTGCAAGGCAAGTGCTCTAACCACTGAGCTACAGGATTCCACAGGACTACAGGAATGCACTGGCAGTTGGAGAGCCAGTGGAGGCTTGTGAAGATGGATTTGTGGAGCCAACAATAAAAGAGGATTTAGGTAGCAGAGATTTAATATGAGTTGTAGCTTTTGGAGGAGGGTAGAAATAGAGAGGCCAGCAAAGTGTACATTGGAGAAATCTAGCCTTGAGGTGATGAAAGCATGGGTAAAAGTTTTGGCTGCATTGAACTTAGGTGAGCAATGCTGTGCGATATTACAAAGATAGAGGAAGACTATTTTGTTCAAGAATCAGATGTAGTTTGAAGCAGAGCTGAGAGCCAAAGATAGCAGTTATCTTTGCATTACATTTTGATATTTTTAAATACAGCAACACTTGCATGTGACTCAGCCTGGTTCTATGCCCACTTCCTGAGGACAAATATGTAGGAAATCCTCTTATAAAATATTAATAGCTTACAGTTATCTTTTTCCCAGGAAAATCTACATGAAATAAACTGAAACATTGCTTCTGAGCAGTCGTATGCTTGCACAGTTTCAAGCCAACATTGCACCAACATTTCTGCATTAATAATGTAAACAAGCATTATTACATTTAGCATTTCACCAGCCGTTAGGGAAACTTTAAAGCAGTGTCTGATGCCAAACACACAAATAAATTTGGAACGATCTAAATCCAGGACAACATCTGCCTCATCATGTAAAACATACTTTCCTCCCACAAGAAAAGATTGCCAGCTTGTTTTCAGTTAATATTTTATAAGAGGTTCCCAACAAATGTTTTCCTCGGGAAATAGACGAGCACTAGGCTGAGATGTAGGTCAGCGCTGCTGTATTTAAGGATATCAGGATATAGCTCAACAGGAAAAATTCACAAAATCTTCTGGTCTGGTGTTTTATTTCTTGGTAGCCATTCTGATTGTCATAATCCAGAGAGACCAACAGCAAAAAGGATTAACATCATAACCTTTCTGGAATAACAGTGGGTTCATTAAAAACAATCTGAAACTTTATGGATTAGTAAGAGGTGCAATCCTATGTCAAGCAACGTTGTGGGATTTAACTGATTTTGGATGCATATACTGTAAGTAAAACCGAATTTATACTCCTGACAGCCACACAACAATGGAGCTATTTGGAGAAAAAAAACACAATTCATATTTCTCTAGCACTCAGCAATAGTTTGTTTTAAAAATATTGTGTGACTGACTTATTAAAAATTATCAATACTAAAAATAAACCCCAAGAACTATTGAGGTATAATTTGTTGAGTAGAGATTTTATCGTACTTTTAAACGTGTAGAGGTAAAAAGAACAACATTGATATAGCAAGAGACTATAGCAAGAGAGGGGAGGCGGAAGCCCAGAGAAAGAAGCATAGAGTGTGTATGTTTGTGTGTGTGTGTGAGAGAAAAGAAAGAGAGAGACAGAGTGTATGAAAGAGAGAGTGGCTGTATATGGGTGCATGCTTGTGTGAGAGAGTGTGAATGAGTGAGAGAAGAGTGGGGGCAGAGTGAGAGAGAAACACATGTTTCTGACACATGCAAAAACCCATCACCATACAACAAAATCATCCAAACAAGACAGAGTACCACATATACATGTCGCCTAAGCACTGAAATTTCTGTTTGGAATGAAAAGCACAATCTCTCCTTCCGGAGAGTATTAGGCACAGGTTATGTTGGGATTCTGCTAGCTCAAACTGCATAGCTAACCATTGAGAGCATCAGCTGGCAAGCTTCCTGCTGTTTATTCAGCAAATGGGTAGGGCTTTGGTTTGGAGGGTTAACAGGAGTCTAGTGAGAAGAGTGGAGTCCTGTAGCTCAGTGGTTAGAGCACTCGCTTTGCAAGTGAGAGACCTGAGTTCAATTCCAGGCAGGGCGAAACCTTGGGCAAGTTTCCTTACTCCACACGCCTAATAATAATCCCTCCAAAACCAAAAACAATGATAAATTGGTCATTTTCAATCTACGACTGTTTGTGGGACATTGCTGTGCGCAATTGGCTGCCACATTCGCCCACAGTGTGTTCTGTGAAGCGCTTTGGGATGTCCTCCCGACGTGAAAAGCGCTATATCAAATGCAAGGATTAAGAATACCTGCGCCCATTGTCTTGGCCACTGTGCCCTGCTGATGAGCCAGCAGTATCTTAGTGTATAGTGGATCCACCTGGCTCAGGAACTAGAGAATCTAGTCCGCCACAAACATCTCATTGCCAAGCACATCAATTTGAAGCCAAATTCAGCTCTAAGGAGACCCCGCTTATCTCCTAACGAGGGTAATGAGAGAGGGAGAGATAGAGATAGAGAGGGAAGGAGAGCGGCAGTGTGAATGAGAAGCACAGAGAGAAAGAGAGAGGCAGAGCAAGAGGTGGTAGAGAGTGTGAAGAATTGGAATAACATGATCCTCCAGTATAACTCCTGATGGAACAACTTTTGTTAACAACTGTAGCCAATTTGTATTTTTGCGAGTTGTTAGAATTTGGAATGATCTGCCAGAAAGGGCAGTGAAGTCCGATTCGATAACAGCTTTTAAGAGAGAACTGGATAGGTATCTGGGGAAGACGGGTTTGCAGGGTTATGGGGAGAAAGCTGGTGAGTGGGGTTAATAAAAGTCAGTTGCTCTGTCAAAGAGCCGGCACAGGCCGAATGGCCTCCTTCTGTGCCGTAACATTCTATGATTCTATGATTCTATTTTCCATGATGTCTAATTATCAACAGCATTTGCTAACCCAACCACAATGGACCAGTCCTGATTAGTGCAATCAACTCTACTGCTTTGGTACGTCCTCCTGACATGAAAGGCGCTATACAAATGTAATTTGTTGCAATTTGTTGTTGTAATAGACATTTATACAGTCCACACAGTGTACCAATTCAGTGCAAAGAATACAGTATAAATCCAGTGTGGGGTGTAGTAATTTGTAATGGAACTTAACTACACAGTTTGTCTGAATTCTCTATAACAGGGAAGACCACAGAGTATGACTCAGCTCGGCACAATTCTGTCCCATGAAATCCTCTCTTTTATTCTTTCCTCATTACATTTCCAGAAATTTGTCCAGAGGAATGGTTACTCTGAGAACATAGCAAACTAGTTTGTCCAGCTTGTTTGATTAAAAAGCAAATGAAGCAGAGTCTGTTCACAAATCAGGAAATTTATCTCTTTTACTTTTAATCTAGAGCCAGGTCGGTATATTCCCAGGAAAATGTTCCTCACACATATGTTCTGTGAGCAAACCAGGCTGATATTTTGTAAACAAAACGATTGTTTCAGGTTTCAAGAGAATAAAAGAGAGGTGCCAGATATTGTTTTGGTAGTGCCATTTATTCTGCTATCATTTGTTAATGACCCAAATATCCAAATTGACAAAGTCAACTAAAATGGGACAGGAAACAAACTTCATAAAGGCAGGCAAGCACTTCTCTGTTTTTTTTTACTTACCTGATAAGCTTTATTAACCTGTGCAGCCGCCCAAGTGGCATATTTCATATTGTCCTTTTTTATTTTGGCGTTGGCTTTGGGATTAGAGGCAATATGACTTGCAGTCTTGGAAATAGAGAAAAAAATGTAAATAGAGATAATATTTAGCCTACAATTGTGTTATTTTATATTATACCACATTGTAGCATTTACCAAAAATATCTGTTGGCTGCAAAAATTGTAACAACATTCAAAAGGGAACTGGAAAACACAGATTACCTTAGATAGCTCCAAAAGGGAGCTCCAATAGCACACTGGCACAGACTCCACTGGCACACAGTACAAACGTTCTAGGAATTTCTCATTATTTATGTTTTGGGTCATGCGACAATGATGCATTAACTGCAAAAAGTTTCTCAACACAGAAGAGAAAACTTGGGTCAAGAAAATGTATTTCATGAATTTTAGAACTAACACCCAAAATATAATGGCTTGGGTCCACACACTCAGTCCTATGGTATAACAAAGTGCCAAAAAATGGACAACTTCTGACTCGTCAGATTGTCAGTGATGCCGCAAGAGTGCGCTGCACAGAAGCGTAGCTGACATCACTTCCTTCTCAAAGTGCCATGAGCAGTGCCAGGGGCAGATTGGCTATTCAGAAATTCCGAGCCCTTTCGGGAGCTATTGCACCACTGAGCAATGATTTCTCCAGATAGAGTGCAGGAATTTAAGGCAGCAGGAAGTGACCCTAACCAATGATCTGATAACTCAGAAGGTGCCAGCTTTTTTTGTCCACAGTACACCTCAGCTATAAGTGAACCCATAATAAACTTGACAGCTTTATGCAGGGGTACCTGTAATAGATTCATTAGTACTTGTAAAATTAACACAGGGTCTATAAAGTTAAAACATGTCAATGTACTTCAAAGGTAGTCGCTACACTTAACAGCAATTGTGCATTTGGAGGCAAATGTAGAAGTTATTTTGCATACAAGGGCCCACAAACGGCCAAATCGTTTCACGGGATCTTTAATGTCCACCTGAAGAGGTAGATGAGATGTTGTCTTAACATCTGATCAAAGAAGAAGAAAAAAAGGAGAGAAAAATAGCATTGTTTTTAAAAAGCCAGAATAATGAAAAAGAGAACGGGAGGAAAAAAGACCACAGGTGAGGTATTTAAAATGTTTAAAATAGTGTTTATAAAATTTACTTTAGCAGGCTAGGATTAATATTACATGAATAAACTTCTGACCATCTTTCTTATTATTTGAACATTGGTGCTTTTTAACACCAGTGCGTGAGTAGAAAATATGCTGAACATGGGATAGACTGTTTTTTCAAGTCTTTAAATCATGGTCATAAATGAGAAGCAGCCTTACATCTCCAGGGAGCTACAAAATAACTTTATTAGTGTACAATTTCCTCCACATATTCCAACTTACCATATAAAGCCCAAACAAAGCTCTCATATTTCTGTTGTTTAGCTTCAGGGCCTGGGAAAAATATTTTCGAGCTATCTCCAGGTTTTCAAGACCACCTTGTGTGTATTTCACCTGTAATACAGAGGAGTAAAGATGAATAAAGTTGGCTAAATTTTGAACCTCAATATTTTCGAACTTGATTAAAAGCACAAATTGAAATTATCTATTTGCAGTGCTCCAAGACACTATCCTGTGTGAAGGTTGTTATATAAATTCAAGTTGTTGTTGGAATGTTAATAACTCTATTTTACAACAAGACTCATTGAGCTTTTGCAAGACTTCATTTAAATCACTATCAAAACGTTTAATTTGTGCTTTGTGCTGTGCTACTATTCATCAGAAGAGTGTAAGAAAACATGATGCAGATTAATAATTTAACTACTATTTTGCTCCTGCGAAACACTGCCTGTTAAGCTTTTATTGTGAATTCTGTGCCAGCCATTCATAGCGAATACAACAATTTTCTTCACCCAGTGTCAACATCAAGCTTTCTCTAAGTATAGTAGTTAGAAACTGAGTAAAGCTCCTTCTCTTCTGCCCGAAAACTCCAGTCTCAGGAAATCAGTGTATTTCCACTTTCTATTGTAGTTATCCAACAGCTCCATTATAACATGCTGTTTGCCAACCCACCTTATAATGGGGCCTGAATGCCTATCAGGATTTCCGTAACATGATATCAGTCATTTAACTGTTGTCATCATATTAAGGGATGCTTAAAAACATGGTCAATTTCTGTGTTACCAGGTCACCAATGGCCTTCTTGTGTGTTGTACACATGCATGGAATGTCTCCAGCCTCGTAATGCACAATCTAACCAGCTAGGATTTTAAAAAGTACATGAGATTTTATTCATTTTACACTGAGATTGGTATCTGATTATATATTAAAACTAGAATTTGATGCAACCATCCTTATTTCCCTAATACAGCAATTGCAACAGATTGATATAATGGTCTTCTGTGCTGTAAATTTCTATATAACACAAACAAAGTGAGGTGGCAACACACATTATTCAGAGGGGGATGTTGTCAGTACAAAGGTCTACAAATGCATTCACTTTTTAAGTGTGAATGAATTATGTTTCTCTGACTTTGAAATGAACCCAATAAATAACAGCAAGTACAAGCAAATTATGTTATTACAGGTGTATATGACCGTTTATACATGTACATATTCCTTGAATTAACTGAGGGAAAAAGATCACATCCTCTCTCTGATTTTGGATTAGAAATGCAACAGCCTGTGTCAAAAGATTAAAAATAATCAACAACAACAACAAGATTCCATTTATAGAGCGCCTTTCACGTCGGGAGGACGTCCCAAGGTGCTGTACAGTTGGGTCAGGACCTGAGCAGGGGGGAAATGGTGAGGGGAGGGAAGGGAGGGAGCGAGGAGGGGGTAGAGAGTCGAGAGGGGAGCTGAAGGCACGGTCAAAGAGAAGAGTCTTAGAACCGAGAGAAGATTCTGCAGTGTAATGGAATGGAACTATCAAATCAACTGAGCAGTTTTTTACATTATTATTGTGTTAATATCTGTAACAAGAATGAAGATGTTGTTCTCTACGCCCACCTCTGCATAATTCTGACAATACAGGTGATTGTGAGGGTTGGTCATCATAAGCTCTTCCAGGCAAAATGCTGCTTTTCCATAACTGCATGATAAAAAAAATGAATGCAGAATGATGAAAAAGGCAAACAGTTCAACACAATTAATTTCCTGCACTAGTTTGTTTGTTGCAAATTTAAATTCAAATCAAAATGCCAAGTTATTTCAATTGATTTTGCTACCTTCACTTTACTTTGGTACACACAGCAAAAAAAGTTATTAATTGTGTTTTAAATGGCATTCAACTGAGCATTATCTTCTAATATAACTCAGTGGTGATCATATTATATAACATACTGCACTTTTTAAAAATGTATTTAATGAATAGGAAATGATATCCTCCTTGTTCAATATACAGCTTGACAAATTACTTGACTAATTTCATTTCCAAACCCTACATATTGCAGTCTCTCCAAGGAGACTAAATCCAACAGAGCAGTGACCTAGAAGTAATCCCTTGTAAAAGTTGTGTTTGTGAGGCCAAAATAAGGTTAACACTACCACTGATAATTGCAAACAGGGAAATAATATGTTGAGGTAAGCAGTTAGTTAAATAAAAATATCTCTCTAAATGGCTGTAATAACAATAAAGAGTTTGAAACCCACCATAAATGACACCAATATTGTTTTTCATAGCGAGAAAACTTTAAAGCACTAAAAGAAACTTTGAGCACAGAAGAAGGCCACTCAGCTCGTGTCTATCCCATTGCGATCAATATTAAGACCACTTTCCAACTCCTTTTCCCATATCCCTTAATATTTTTGCTGCTTGGTCGTTTATTGAGTTCCTTCAAGTTCCACTCTGAATGACTTGATCCAGTTACAAAAGCCACCTGTGGTAATAAATTCCAAACCTTAAGAATCCTCTGAGTGAAGAAATTCCTTCTCCCTGCTTCTTTTTCTAACAATCCTGAGACTATATACCCTTGCCACCAATTCCCCATATAAAGGAAATAGTTTTTCCCTATGTAACTCCATTACAGCATCCTTCATTACTGATTCCCCATTCTCCTCAGCCCCAGTGGAAAATAACACAATTTAACCAGTTTCTCTCATACATATAATCTCATACCCTGTGTCATTTTAGGGTAAATGAATCTGCATTGCATGCACTCTCTCTGTCTGACATCTTTCCTGTAATAGGGAGCCCATAACTGAACAAATTGCTCCAACAATACCCTAACCAATGTATCATACAATTCCAACATCATTTCCCTACTTTTATAATCAATTTCCTGATTTGTAAATCCCCAAAACCTCATTTGTCTTCTCTTGTACTGGTTCCCCACATTTAGCGATTTATCCATTTTTACCCCAGACCCCTTCACTCCTCCACTTTAGCTGAGTGTTTACCCTTCAAGCTAAACGTTATAACTCATAGGACTATTTCTCTAGCCTAAAAATGTCCTCCTAAAGTCTTGCATAATTATTCTCACAACTTGCTTATTCAGACATTTTGATATCAGCAGCAAATTTGGATACAATCACTCCAATGTTTAAGCCAAGTCACTGATGCATACTGTAAAAAGCAATACATCCTATTAGTCTGAGAAATGTCTAATGATTCACACTTTCTCCCTAAGCAATCTTTCTATCCACTGGTTGATGGAACCAGGGAGAAATCCGTTTGATAATTCCAGTCAGGAGTTAATTAAAGCACATCAATTTGAGGTTAAATTAATCAGGTTAATCAGAATTAAGGATGTTGATCAAAAGTATGTTACAAAAGATGTTTTTAGAGGAGTTTTGAAGGCAGCGAGCAAAAGAGAGAGAGCGGGAGAGAAAGAGAAAGCAAGGCAAGGGTTTTGGAAGACAATTCACCATGCAGTAGCATAAATGGCTGAAGGTTTGACAACCAATGGTGAGATGGAGGGAGTGATGAAGCAAGAAACACCAGATTCAAGGACTACTACGAGTTTAAAATGTACGAAGTATTCCAGTCAACTTTGTTACAGCATCCTTCTTTCCTGATTTCCAGATATACCTTTTCAGTCCCTCCTCCTCCTCCCGACCACATCTTCCCAAACTGCTTCTTATGACCCCTTGCACAGTTACTAAACCACCATCATCTGGGAAATTGTTGTAGTTGGCATAGTTTGGCTCTTAGCTTTATTATGAGAAGGGAGTGCACAATGTGATATAATCTAGTCTGAGCAGAGAAAAAAAAATTGTGACAAAAGTGACAGATCTTTTAAAGAAGAGGTGGAAAAAGCTGTGATAATAGAAGTAGTATTAAGCTCTAAACTAATCCTCTCACATTGGGATTTCCTCTTGCCACGACAGCAACAAATGCATTGAACAAAACCATAAATATCCAATAAACTGTTTTTGTACTATGACTGGGATTCTTTGGCCTGCCGCTTTTTCACCCTGACAACAGACTACACAGTCTGAACTCCTAATTCTCATCCCTTAACAATAATATGGGATAGATGTGACAGAAACCAAATTATTTTTCTACCATCCTCACGCCAGAGCCTATTCTCCTAGCAACACAACCATAAGCAAGGATATGGAAGTGCTTTCTTCTCCCACAAGTGCGAGGGCTTACAGTTAAATCCTATTAAAGTCTGATTCCATGAAACAAACAGCAGCAATGTTCAATCTTGCCCCAGGAGACCTTGGCATTTTGTGGGCTATTGTGACGCTCTCGGAACCTCAATGGATCATGCTGTCCACTTTTGTGCTGAAATGAAGCACCAGAACTTGTAAAGAAACATAACATATTTGAGACAGATAGCATACTTACTCATGTTCATTGATATAAAGCTCTGCTAGCTCATGCCAGGCTTCCTGGTCTCCAACAAACCTGCAAATAAGAAAACAAGTAGGCCTTAAATAAAACGCGCATTGGAGAAGGAGGGGGTAAAATTAGAATGCAAATTCCTTTTTAATTAAAAAAGGTTTATCAGAGGGCATAGCTCAATCCCCTTGTAAAACACTCACTGTTCTAGATACTCATTCAGCTCCCTGGTGGCTTCAGTGGTTTTCCCCAGGGCTTTGAGAATGGCAATCTTACGCTTCCGTGCTGCCTGTGGATTGACATTAATAGAGGATTACGGTCTCATAATTCCTCAAGTGTTTGTAAAGAAGGTAATTTGACTGTGCAAATTATTATCTCAATGCCAGAAAATTCCAATGCAGAGTGACTGCATGACTGGAGTTTATCAACATAGCCCGTAATATCCCCCTGTGAATTCGAAAACCTGCTTGCACAATTGCACTATGCTTTATTTCTGATGCAAGCAGTACATGCATCATTTCATCTTGATAAATGATTTTACTGCTTTCAATAAGGGCAGAACAGCAGGATACCTAAATCTGTGTCCATCAGATGTTTACTGTCATTCACAGGATTTGTATCTTGGGGGATAAATTATAATGAAGGATTAAAGTATCCTACTGTGTTACCTCCTCGTCAGCTCAACAATGTTGCTGACAACAGTTTGGATTGATTTTATTATGTATTATGACTTTTCTGGAATTTAAAAAAATTGTAAATAGCAACCCAGTTTATATTTGCATCTCCTCAGACTTTCACTCCAAATGGTATAGACATGATATCAGGGTCAACATAGTCACTCTAAATAAGTGTACCAATTCTCAAAGACAAATCACCACAATGCATTGAAAAAATATTCACCAATTATTTTGAGCAATATTTAAACCGGACTCGGCACCACAGCGTGCGATACTTTGTTTGAAAAAGAATAAATCTTACTTAAATCCGTAATCCTTTACCACATATCTGACATTTATGGGGTTGCCTACATGCTTGCTTTCTCTCCAACAGTGGAAATAATGACACCTTTTCTGTGTTGGAAATTATTTCAGGATTCTTTTGGGTTGCACTATAAAATGTGCAGAGAAAGTGTACAATACATTGTTTGTTGTGACATTTAAATGTCTTTTGTGATATGGTTGTTGAACAAGAAAAAGAGATTTGTAGGTTTCATTAAGTATTGCTAATAATACATTGCTACCATTATATATTTCCTTGCTAGGTCAAGCTCAGGTTCCCAGGAAATCAAGCTTAAACTTTCTTTTATCTTCACAGGAATTGAACATTAGTCAAACAGACACAACCTGAAATGCATCAATTCTGTCTCATCCTATGATTCAACAAGTAGCAGGTCAGCACTCATATGCAATGGGGTGGGAACAAAGACTTCAATTGTAATTAACTTTCTAAACGTGCTAGGACGCTATCAACAGGCACTGCTCTAGTCACATCACAGTAATATCAATGAACTACACAAAAAATATGTTTTTTTTACATGCAATGTAATTTTTAAGAATAAAATTTCTAAGTAAGTGAGAACTCTAACCTAGGTCCTGTGGTCAGTGGAAGAAGATATAGGGACAATACTTTTTGTATTCTGATATTAAATCTGAATACTCTGAAAAACTAAAATAGATGCCAAGTTAAGAATAATTTGCCAATAGAATCAGCATTTTAGATTATGTTACTGATGATTTGTAATACAGCATGCATCGAAAGGGCCATTAATTATGCCAAAAAGTCACTTGAGGGGGAAGCTTCTACAGTTATTGAGCAATTACAATAATATTTGGGAGGTGTAGGGCATGTCCTGACAGGAAACTTCATACAATTGCCCCACAAGCCAAATGGCTTTCTTCTGTGCTGTAAATTTTATGGTTCTAAGGATGGTGGGTTTATTTCCTAATTTAAACGTCATAATAAAAACAAGCATCAAAAAACAAACAGACTAAAGTAAGCCTTCACATCTCCTCTTGAATGCATCTTAGATCTTTGATCTTTATTATGAGAACAACAACAACAAGATTACATTTGTGTAGTGCCTTTCAAGTCGGGAGGACGTCCATTTCAGAGTACAGCATTTCAGACCTGAGCTGGGGTCTGGGGGGGAAAGGAGGGGAGGGGAAGGGAGGTGGCCGATGGCATGGTAGAAGAGGAGAGTCTTGAGGCGGGACTTGAAGAAGGCTAAGGAGGGGGTGAGGCTGAGTGATTGGGGGATGGAGTTCCAGAGGTTGGGGCAGAGTAGAAGAAAGCGGTGCTAGTGAGGAATCGGATGTGGGGGAGGAAGGATAATTGGGGGTCCAACCTGACGCCTAGGTTGCATACGGGTTCAGAGAGTTTTAGGGGGAGGTCGGATAGGTGGAGGAGGTGAGAGCCATGAGATTTTAGACGTTGACGAGAGCCAAAGAGTATTGCTTCCGTCTTGTCAACGTTCAGCCGAAGGAAGTTTACGCTCATCCAGCCCCTGAGATTCTGCACTATTCAGGCTGACTGAATAGTGCAGAATTAAGCTCTCTCTTTTCAGCCTTAAATCCAAACTCAGGAGAGCAACCATTATTGCACCAATGTGGCATTTTCCTAATTCTGACACCAGCCAATCTGTGCCCCTCTCTTAAATATCAATTCAGACTGACAATTCTGTGAAAAATGAAGGGCAATTTTTCACTTATACAAGTCCATGCCTACTAAGAACTTGGTTGAGGCAGTCCAAATGCATTTCAAATAGTATCCCTGCATCTAGCAGACAAAGAAGACTTTCGTTTCCAGGTTCAGAGGTGAAAGGCCAGTAGGTTAATACCCTATTCTGCACCACCTAGTCCCCCAAATAGGTATAAAGCCACAACTAATGTGGAAACTGGAAAAAGTAGATAATAAGCAAAAATGAAAATCTAACGTCTTAAATTTATATCCTTTTGTAAAAACAATACTGAAATGTGCAATATTTGTGAACTACTTTTGGTGTTGTATTTTAAGCAACGGTTTACAAAATCATTCATCTGAAAGTCTGATGGTAAAATTAAAAAAGAGAAAGGAGTTTCTCCTCTATTCAAAAAGAGAAAGGAGTTTCTTCAGGTGTCCTGGCAAACAATCCCACAAAAATAAAATTTGTTATTCACTCCAAGGCTGTTTGTGGAATTGGCTGCCACGTTTCACCCATAAAATTCACAGGCATTCATTCTACTATACAGCATATCCTGTGAAGCGCTTTGAGACATCTCAATGACATGATAAGGCGCTATATCAAGCATTATTATTAAAACACAAACTGTCAAAAGATCTACTCCTTTAACACTAAAGTTAACATTAACTATACAAACAAATGCATAGGGTGCGTGCCTCCAATGTAAATATTTTCCCGTTTTAAAAATTATCCTACCAATTTTTTTAAAGCTCTCCCAATCTTACTTTTAATCTCCTTCACAGCTATGTGGAAACCTGTTTGGAGGATGGAGTTCCAGAGGTTGGGGGCAGAGTGGAAGAAAGCGGTGCTGGTGAGGAATCGGATGTGGAGGAGGAAGGATAATTGGGGGTCCAACCTGACACCTAGATGAATTTTCTGATCTGAAATTTACGAGCAGGTCTTCCATCTGATGATACAAGTGGGCTGTCTGACTCCACTCATTCAACTAATATGTTGTATCACTGCTAAATTGGTGGCTGCTCAACAAATTGTGAAATTATGGCTCCAGAAGGGAATTCAAGAACCAAAGAGTTGCAGACCACCAATAAATCAGTGTCCCTAACTGCGAGCTCCCAGACCATTATATAAGCCATCACTGACACTGATGCTGCCTTGTTTGCCCTTCTAACATTCATTTCATTTCTAACCAATTACCTCAGAACAGTCAAAATTGACAATGAGAGCTCGACACTTACATCGGACAGAATTTGTTTTTGCAGAAATATCAAAAAATTATGCAAACTGTCTCCTTGAGATACTGTGTATAGTGATTATTGTCTTCGATACACTGTACAAGTCCCTCAGCAGCTTTGATCAATTAGATCACTAGATGATGAAAATCAGTATGAAATTTCTCATCAACAGGAGAACAGCAAATACAAGAATCGTTGTGACTCAACAAGGGAATTTCACATCTGATGCTGCCAAAGCTTTTGATGGGTTGAATAGGAATAGGGCACTGTCTTAATCAGTTACTGAACCATTATCAAGCACAAAACAAAGTACAAAAACATTCATTCTCTAACCTCTGCATCACAATCTGGGTACAAGCTGAGTACAAAACACCTGAATAGATACAAACAAAGTCCCAATGATGATCAATTTTCCACTGAGACATAGCAACTTGAAGCTGAAATTTTCCCAATATACACACACACACATATATATAATCTAATAATCCTTGGTAAATTAAAAAATACTGCAGCAATTGACTCCAATATTTTAAATTTACAGGTGAAGACCAAGGATAAGAATAAGAATAATCCTTGCATTTGATATAGCGCCTTATCACGTCTTTGAGACTTCTCAGAATAATAATAATGCTTGCAATTGATATAGCGCTTTTCACGTCGGGAGGACGTCCCAAAGCGCTTCACAGAACACACTGTAAAGCGAATTGACTGTATATTTTGTGGGCGAAATGTAGCAGCCAATTGTGTCCCACAAACAGTCGTGGATTGAGTGACTAAATTATTTTTTTTGAAGGAATCATTACCTGCAGATAAGTGATCCGCCAATTGATTAACAATTGGGTTCCTACTTACTGCTAGGTAAACAGACTTGTGGAGTAAGGAAACTTGCCCAGTGTTTTGCCCTTCCGGGAATCGAACCCAGTTTTGGTGTGCACCACAATGAACTGAGAGTGCAGAACAAGTACAGATAATATAGAATTTAGCATTATCCAAATAAGTGGATCCGTATATGATCCAATGGTTCACTAAAACCGATGACTAACAAACCAATCTAATATTTTCCTCTTATCTCTCTGTAGGTTCATTTATGTTAGATTTGAAACCTTAGTGTCAGTATCAAAGTTGACATCATGGGTACCTGCTCTGCTATATAATGGCAAGAAACCTTTGAGAAGTACATTAATATCATTGCACAAGTTATCTTCTTTTGTTTAACCACTGAAGTCTTTGAAACAAACTTGGAAGATTTTATCCAAGCAACATTTCTAATGATGACTACTCTGCTATCATTAGAACCTTCCACCTCTCAAGTGGGAGGATTTTGTATTCACAGTTGCTGTTTCGTGTACCTTGTACTTAATGATTTCTTTGAGGCTT